GCTAAGCATGCTGTGAAAGTGGATTGTATCAAACCTCATGTATCATAATGGATCAGCACTCATAATGAGAGCAGTAAACACTGTACAAAGGGGAATATTATTATCAACTGATCAAGTCAGCACAAGCTGTTTCAGTTTTTTTTTTTTTTTATTAAGTCCTGGCAAGGCTGGATGGATTGTTATCTTCCTCCAAACAATTTAGTTCTCGATCTTCCTTTCCCAATGATTACACACCAAGTGCTCTCGCCTCAGACCTTCAGACATAGCACAGTAGGTTTATAAACTAACTCAAAGTGGGACGTGTTAGCCACAACTGCAAATGTTTAGAAGATCTCAAAGGCCAACAAAGCTTATTCATCCTTACTCACACATGCACAGCAGTACCAAACACAAACATCCAGTCCACTTGGTAATCCTTCCATGCCAAACCAGACACGGTGCCTTCCCAGCGCATAATCAAACACAAGCACACCCGTCCCTCACACTCTGACCTTGTGCTGAACCATTCATTATCTGCTGCCTAATGCAAATGGTGGACTGAGGAATGTGCAGTCCGATTCCCCTCCAAAATTGCTCTGCAAAAAGTATAATCTGGATGGAAATTCTGATGAACACAGAGATGTGCAGATGCTTGTGTAAAAAGAAATTAACATTAATACTGCTTAATGAAAATAAAAATACATCTCATAACATTACCTTGTTTTTGCCATAGGTGAAGAAAATTGCTGCAAGTCACCTTCATGCTGCCCACCTTTTGGTATTCTTAACCATCATACAAGTGTGGAAATTAACTGAAAATCTAAAAAGGCCTACAAACTGTATGATAGGCATTTTATGACAAAAAGATGACTCTCTTCACAATAACTTTAGCATATCCAAAAGAGATTACGGATGGGGATGTGTGAACCAATTTCCTACATTGAAATGATTCGAGTCATCATCAGGTTTTCACCAAACACCGTATGAAAACATCATACAAAAAACAGACGACATTGGAGTTAATCTCGTCACTCATTATGGCATCCAAGTTTGTTTGTCTTTTTGCCAGACCCTCTGTCATATATCTCGAAAACTTTAGGTGGTTATCTGTATTGTTCATGTTTACAGGTTCCTCGACACATCTTGGTTGCTGTTGAACAAGCTTCAGGGAGTGAGTGAAGGGAATCGTGTTCAGGATTAAGTTGGGTGAATCACGGCGACTTGGCACTTTTGCTGAAAAGTCAAGTTTCTCTCTATCTCCATCATGCTAAAGCTCAACCCGTCTTCCTCTCTGGGTTTGGTGGGGACTTATCTCCAATGGATATAGGCTCCTCTGGCTTTACACAAAGCCTTGTGTTGACATTCCAGAGGACCAAGATTTGTACAAACACACCAGGCCACACCAGATGGCTGTTCAAGGGAGGACGAGGCAAAGATGAAGGACACTGAGGGGGATTATGAAGGACAGGAAGAAACAACACAATGACCTTAGCCACCAAAATGTCAAGCTCTCCATGCAGGCCTCAATTTTAACAAACCACTTATTCTTTCAAACTTTGCTCCATATTCAACGACATACCATTCCATACGTGATAAAAACGTTTTCGAGCTCCTGCCCCAAAAGTCACACAAAACTAATATTTGGGGATCAAAGGTTAATCTTGCCAGCATATGGAGCCACAAGCTCTTCAAATGAAAAAGTAATTTAAGGCTTTGAGTGACCGCGGAGGGTCATGTTTATCAGATTAGGTCAAGAAAAATATCACCACGCAACGAATCCCAGGGAATTTGAGCAGGAGGAAAAAAAAAACAGCAAGAAGGCATCCAAACAGCAAGCTAACACCAACAACAAACTCTTCAGCACCTTCGGCCAATGTTCAGACATTGTTTTTCATAGCACCAATATAGAACAACCTCTAAATAGACATTTGCGGTTTTTGTCACAATGGAACAATCTAATCCTCCATATGCCCCCAACCTCTCTTGCTGCCTGGGTGTTCCATCAGCCTGATACACAATAGACAGCCAGTCTAATAAAAGTGTGTGCACTAAGAAGTGTGGATGGATATCCGGCTGCCTTTCCCTCCACCCCACTTGAATGAGGGTTAAGGTAGTTTATACTGACACTTTGCTCCATTTTCACATCTTGGGCCCCCAACCCCTCCTTCAATCCTCAAGGGCTTTAGCTGCTTTCTTTCCCTTATTCAATGGAATAAGAGGAATGCTTTTAAAGGGAATTTTCCCTCCAAGCTTTTTTTTTTCAGGTTTCCGGAGACATGAAGGGGCATGTTCAGTGGAAGAGTTTGTGACTCGTTTGTATGGACTTGCGTTCTGGTGATCACACCTGGTGATACGATGGCTGAAGATGGAGTATTGGCATCGTACTCATTAGAATGATCAATGTCGTTTACTACTTACAGACTTGCCGAACACACGATACAGAGTCAGTTCCGTCACCATAAACTTTACGTCACTTGTCAAAGTCAAGGCCCTAGGGCCACATCCGGCCCACCACAACATCATATGCGGCAGGCGAAAGCAAATCATATGCGCTATGACATGTTTATCGATAAAATCTGGACCAAAACCATTTTAAAATATAGATATTGCATATAGCAATTTTTTTGTTCCCAAATACATTTTGAAAAGAAATTGAATAGTTGAACAAAACCTGTAGTCCATCAATTTGTTGTGCAAACAGTATGTAAATATGACGAGGTGGTCATATATGGTTTCAATGTCATAGCAGCCCTCAACTGCAATGTGACCCCTACTTTACACAAATACGTACACCGGAAACAATGAAAAAAAAAACCCATAATAATCTAGTGTGGAACTGCAATGCATCACACTGACAGTTGCTTTGAATGTTGACTCTCATCAAACAGAGAAAGAAGCTCAAAGAGCAAATTAAAACAAGAACTTAGAACAGAATTATACTGTTTTGTAGAGTTGATGTTGAAAATGAAAATGTTTCACTTTTCTAAGATGGTGAGCGGCGCAAGGTATAAAAAAATATATCGCTCATTGTTTGTGGTGTTTGTGCTATACAATATACAGAAGAGCTGATGCTTCCAACTACGGCCACGCTAGCCAATAAATCAATTTTGATTAACTTGAATGAATGTAGATAAATCAAAGACCCACTCTGTACAATTAAATCTCTTCTGATAATGAAAGAAAAAAAATCAATCAGCTCATCAGACTAGTCATTAGCTTGCCAGGATCCCAACAGTGGATCTTTGTCTGATAGCAGATCAAGACACACTTACACTGTCATGACAATGATGAGTTCTTTCTTCCTTAATGGAATTGGGTTGGGATAGGCTCCAGCACCCCGCGTGACCCTTGTGAGGATAAGCGGATCGGAAAATGGATGGATGGATGCACAAAATATATTTTAAAGGTGTAAAAAAATAAAAATCTTCTGTCTTCAAGACATGAAATTCAAGTTTTGTTTTCCTGAATGAAAATATGGTAACAATTAGATCATCTTTTTTCAAAAATTACAAATTGCATAAGTACTCCTGTAATATTACGACTATCACAATAATTTGGACCATTTTTTTTCCTCAAATTTCTATATCATCACTCTCCACCCACTTATCTTCAAACATCCTACAAACCTTAAAAAAAAAATACCAAAAAAAATTACAAAAATGAACGTGAAATCATTGCAGGATCTTGAATAGACCCACCGGCTATTATCGGTACAAAATAAGTTCACAGCCAAAAGCGTCTGTGGTTTTAATTATTTATTTGCAAATGTGACAGGTACATCTGCAGTGGAACAGCTTAATGTTGGTCCAGTAGAAAATAAAACCACACTGATTTCACACTCTTTAAGTGTTCGATTGTGTCAAGTTAAATTGGGTTCTAGGTTGAATCGAAAGGAGCCAGCGGATAATTGTGTCTTTACACTTGGAGCAGTCAATCCAGAAAAACGTCCACTTCCTAAAGTAAAGCTAAGAAAGGCTTCAAGATCTGAAGAGAGAATGCCATCAGGATCTACATAAGAAAGAATTAGCTTGCTATAAAATGTACAAATTTCCCAAGACTTTAACTTAATATTCACATTCATATATATAAAACTTAGAAAACATGGTTCCGTCAAACCCAGTAAAAATAAGCCACTTTTCCGTTACTGCAGAGAGATCATTTTTAAATTACCATACATTTCAAGGATTACGTCGATATTATGTTCAGCTTTAATAACATCATATTGATTTTGTTCTTTCTCCAGACTTACTCATTAATACAAACATCACAAGTCAATAAATTAAAATGCTACCTCAGTCCCTGAAAGCCAATACTTAACCTTGTGTTACTGAGTGAGTGTGAGGCAGGTTTTTAGGCTTGTGTGTGTGTGTTTGTCTTGAAATGTGTGTGTGTGTGTGTGTGTGTGGGTGTGTGTGTGTGTGGATGCGTGTGGGTATCTGTGTGTGTGTTTTGTGAGTATAAGCGAATTGCAACCCTGCCTATTACTCCAAACTGGATGAAGGGGAGTGGGGTAAGTACCTTTTTATTTTTGAGTCCATACAAAAAAATAATTCATTGTAAATATATAATATATATTTATACATATTTGAAGATATTTACAAATATACCCAGAACTACACGTTATAGTGCAGTTGTTTTTTTCTCTAGAGTAATTGGGAGAAACAAGTGAAAAAAGAAAGGCATCAACATTACAAAATCAACAGGAAAGCTGTTTCTACGTGCGCTCTCCCTCTTCCTCGGTTTTTGTTAGTCAAAGCTTTGTTTCTTAGTCCTTTTCCTATTTTTACTCCTCTTCTTTTAAGTTCATATTGGTCTATACATTCCTCCAGAAGCAAATAAAAGTCTTGGAATGCGAGCCACTGGAATGGGGTCACCTCTACTACAGATTATAATGTGTGTGTGTATGTGTGTATGTGTATGTGTGTGTGTGTGTGTGTGTGTGTGTGTGTTTATATATATATATATATATATATATATATATATATTATATATATACAGGAATAATATTTGCGTTGTCCAAATGGCAGTGCAACAGCGCTGCTGCCCGCCAGATCCCAAAGGGGTCCATAAGTCAGCCGAATGGTGGACAAAAAAAGGAACGGGCCGGGAAACTGGGAACATTTTAGGGTAGGTGTCTCTGCTGAGTGTGATTTGGGCTTTCCAGTAAAGAGTGCAGGGCGGAGCTCATGTTTTGACGTTGCCGTTGATGTGCTGGTACTTCGGGAGACACGGCTCATCCGGTAAGGACTCGTGTGAGAACACGGAGTCATCGCCGGAGGAACAGGAGCTGCGAGTGTCTGGGAAGATTGGAGAATACTGTTCTGCGGGGGTGCACAGGTCCAGATATTCCTGTATACACAGACATAAGGGGTTCGCACATTGTTATGACACAAAAGGGACAGAGAAGGGCAAAGTTCAAATCAAATGGGGAGGATGGTGATCAGATTGGTAAAATAGCCATGTACATTTTACAAAAACGTGATGCGATGAAATGTAAAGAAATTTTACATAGTATAATTACTGTCGTATTTGTGTGTTGGATGTGTGCGTTTCAAGGGCGTGACCGAGAGCAAGTGACAGCTCCTAAATTGGGGCAGACGTTGGCTCAACCGGTTTAAGACTTGTGCCTGCTTGTATGAGAGCGGCCAAAAATCTCAGCGGACAATGTTAATGGTATTTGTATTTGATATATTTTTATAATAATGTAAATATATGCAATAGCAGCGGTTTTTAACCTGGGTTCGATCGAACCCTAGCGGTTCGGTGAATCAGTCTCAGGGGTTCGACAGAGCCTCAGCCATGGAGGTTAAGACACGCCCAACTCATCATATCAATTAGTTATGACACCCTCGCTTGGCCATTACTGGCTGGGTCATTTTGTGCACAATTAAAAAACAGATACTTTATACTTTTTTCAGTTTTTAATGAATTTATTTAATTATATACAGTATTTTTATTTTTCTCTAATGAAGGGTTCGGTGAATATGCATATAAACTGGTTGGGTACACATTGTTATGATACAAAAGGGACAGAGAAGGGCAAAGTTCAAACCAAATGGGGAGGATAGTGATCAGATTGGTAAAATAGCCATGTACATTTTGCAAAAACGTGATGCAATGAAATGTAAAGAAATAAACCGGTTTTACATAGTATAATTACTGTCGTATTTGTGTATTGGATGTGTGCCTTTCAAGGGCGTGACCGAGAGCAAGTGACAGCTCCTTTGGGTACCTTTAACAAGTTTAAGAACCACTGCCTTAGTGCAATATGACAACTGTGCTTCATACCTATCAATGTGTTTTCAAGACCTATTGCAAAAACAATGTGCAGTACCTAAGAAAAAAATGATACCCTATCGTATTTATGTTGTTCATGTTTATATGGCCACATGATCCATAAATATATACTGTTGAAATCATCTCAACAAAATCATGAAAGAGATAGCGAGGATTTGTTGGAAAAGAGCTCTTGAAAATAATTTAGTTGTGAATAGCATCTGTGTTCCGTTCTTTCTTCAGTCTTTTTTGATGACTGTTTCTGGGTGATAATAATGTCAGTGCAATAGCAGTGGTTCTTAACCTGGGTTCGATCGAACCCTAGCGATTCGGTGAATCAGTCTCAGGGGTTCGACAGAGCCTCAGCCATGGAGGTTAAGACACGCCCGACTCATCATATCAATTAGTTATGACGCTCGCTTGGCCATCACTGGCTGGTTCATTTTGTGCACAATTAAAAAACAGATACTTTATACTTATACTAATTGTATTTACTTTTTTCAGTTTTCAATACATTCATTTAATTATATATTTTTATTTTTCACTCATGAAAGGTTCGGTGAATATGCATATAAACTGGTTGGATTCAGTACCTTGAACAAGGTTAAGAACCACTGCCTTTGTGCAATATGACAACTGTGCTTTATACCTATCAATGTGTTTTCAAGACCTATTGCAAATACACTGTGCAGTACCCAAGAAAAAAATGATACCGTATCGTATTTATGTTGTCCATGTTTATATGGCCACATGATGCATAAATATATACTGTTGAAATCATCTCAACAAAACATGAGAGAGATAGCAAGGATTTGTTGGAAAAGAGCTCTTGAAAATAATTTAGTTGTGAATAGCATCTGTGTTCCGTTCCTTCTTCAGTCTTTTTTGATGACTGTTTCTGGGTCTGCTTGTGAGAGAGACGACTTATTGTGGTTTTCTCGAAAAGAGCACTGGCTTGCATTTGCTCAGCTGAAAAAGAGAAGGCTCACATTCCTAAAGACCTTCACATCTGCCAATGGTTTAGGGCAGAGAAGAGTGGGTGTGTGTGTGTGGGGGGGGTTTATTGCATTTCAAAAGTTCAAAATGAAAGTTGGGCTCTTTTGGCTTCAATTCATGGAGTTTCAGAGCAGGGATTAGTTTTGACAGCTTTCCATCTCCTCTGTTCAGATAGCAGATACCACAGAACACAGGGAAGAGAACAGGCTTCGCTGTAGGGAGCTTGGTCGTAACGATCAGTCAAATTTACGGGGCCTTGGTGGCCTGGATCAAATAATTTGGACTTTTGTGTGTGTGTGTGTGTGTGTGTGTTGGTGGTTGTCACGACCAATGCTTTGTAGCCGGAACGTGCATGGTGCTCCGAAAGCTTTCAGATTCATGTGAACCTTGCATGCACTGGTGGTTTTGTATGGTTTGAATTGGATCAAAACTCATGTTACGCTGTGTAGGAATGTATCATATTACAGTATTCCATTTTATTTTGACAAAAGGTCAACTTCCATTTGCCAGGAAACCATTAACATTAGCGCAGTATGGTTTCAAACCACCCCGAATTCTTCCAAGAATTTTGTGGAAGACCGCTGATGCTGCACTAACCTCATTGGTGTTGAGTGTGAGAATGCGATCCAGATCCTCGACAAGCTGCTTGAAGGTTGGTCTATGGGATGAGATGGCGTGCCAGCAGTCTTTCATCATCATATAGCTGAGAGACACAAAGTCAAAGTTGGTATATTCGCTGAAGCATGTGAAGAACAGGGCAGATGGAGGCTGGATCATTCACCATTCCTTTCCTACCTATTTCTCTTAGTTTAAGAATCTGTCACTGAAAATCATGTATGGGACTTAAGGACTCTTTTTCATATATGATTTCTGTACCATGCCACTGCCTTTGCTTTCCAGCTATCTCTACAAAACAGCGCCATTGTGGTCATAGTGAAAGACAGACGCTGATAGCAGCTGGAGTCAGCCGTGTGAGTGACAGAGGACATTGATAGTACGGACTGAGGAGACAGACTCGGCCCCAAGTTTGGGGCACCATAAAAGAGGGCCAATGTGCTCGTTTCCAATGGAACATGTCAACGACTCTTACAGCTCATTTGTGCAGTTGCCAGGCTTGTCCATGCGATGGCCCTCTTTGAGCAGCTTGAAGAGCTCTTCCACGGGGATGCCGGGGTATGGGGAGCCCCCAAGGGTGAAGATCTCCCACATAAGCACCCCAAATGACCACCTGTAAAGGGAGAACAACACTGGCACGATAAGCAACAGTGGCAAAGCAGGTTCCGTTGAAACGTTGGACAAGGCGGACGGATGTTGAAACAATGTGGATGAATTTGGAAGGGACCTCGCATTCTCATACAATACTAATGTTATTCTAGAATCAGGTAGTCTAGAAGCAGCTTATTTATGTAGTTGGGGTTTCCCTCACAAGGCTGTTCTGACTGTGAAAATCATATAAATGTATATTCATGATTCTAAAGAAAAATGCTTGAAAATGGATTCAAGTGATTTCACTTTTTTTTTTTTTTAATTTTCTGTTAAGTCTTTCTGCAAAAATGAAAAAAAGTGTATCTCTTTATGGGGAAGGAGACACATCTTTGTTTTAGTGGGCCAGCTCCTGCCACCATTCTTGAGTGTTACATTTCACGATCTGTATGAAAGGACAAAAAGTCTTCGTGTTTTGTTCCAATTTACTTTGGGTCGCATGCAGCAGGCATGTTTCTCGTGTCAATGCCGTCCTTCTTGTGACACCGACCCACTCTCAGTGCCACTCTGGCCCTGATCTGAACAATGGCTTTTGTGCCTGCTGTGAAAATGACACAGGCTTGCATTGTCGAGTCCCTCCACACCAAAACAAACTGGGCCACCCAAATGGCAGAGAAATGAGGAAAGGGCAACTGATCTTTTGATTAACTAATAATGACTTCCCTGTTGTAAATTTTTCCAGGATTCCACAATTCAGTTGTTGATGTGGGGCAAGTTTAGAAAGACTGGACCCACATAGGACAAGTCTTTCAATGCTGCACCGTAACACAAGGGTATGCTTACAATCACAGACGTATTTGGCTAGGTGCTGGAGGCATCAAGAAAGCAACAGGAGAGCGGGACCGCTGATATATCAGTTTCTTCCATCTGTTTACACAAGCAGCACCAGCTTCATGCTGGTCTCTCTTGTTGACACACTCGTCTCTCCTTTCTGGACTACTTTGTAAATGCCTCTCAGCACTGTGTCACCCAGTCTCCCCTGTGCGTCCGTGTCCACGTGCGCCCATCCTTGACTCAACAAACAAGCGGACGCACCAACAGGTGACCTTTTACTTCACCTTTCATGTATTCCAGCACACACCACCAAACTCATCAATGGGCATACCACTGTGTAACTGATAGAGAGACAACACCGGCGATTCCCACTCAACTGTGAAATTATGTAATTTCACTTATTGGTCCAAAAATGATCATTATTATCATTAATTAAAAATAATGTGTCTGTGTCGTGTCTATCTCTGCCAGTGATGTATAGCGATAAGCAGAATATTGAAATGCTCTTCCTCTGGCACCGCAAATCATTATTTCAGTATATGCTGAAGACTTTTTAATCTTTTTTGGGGGGTGTTGTGTCATGAGATTCTTCTCATGTAAATTATGTGTTGGCTTTTTTCCCTGTTGGAAAATTTTATGACATCGAAAAATGGGAGAATGAACATACAAAGTAGATGGGAGAAAGCAAGTGACTATTAGCAAACGGTTCGGGAGCCTGAACCTGCAAAATTTGGTGTTCATCTGATTCAATCTCCCCCTCTGTAAAGACTGTGACCATGATGGCAGTGAGCTGCACCAGTCTACATCAACAAAGGATGACTTCCATTGTAATTCATGTATTCATTTAAGCTGATGTCATTTGGGGATTGCCTGTGCACTCTGTCTGTGTTGAAGTAAACAGCCCCCCCCCCCCCACACACACACACTCACTTCCCAAACAGCCTTCTTGCCTTCATAATGTTATTTGATGGACCAATCACTAAAAGTGAGTGATGAAATGTAATTAGCTGTGAGCAAACAAAGAGGACTGCCTGCACTCCCATCCACTCCTCTGCTATGACAGATTGGTGCTGCTCTGTGGAACGTGAATGGCATCATGTGTACATGCAGATATTATTTACAGGCGTGCGCGCGCGCGCACACACACACACACACACACACACACACACACACACACACACACACACCTACATAAACACTTACAGATGTGGACAGAAAAGAGGTCATTTCATTTCAAAACCTCACTGGAACAGCTCCATGTTGAGACTGCTACTGGTGCACGTCTCAAAGACACATGAATGCATGTGGATGCAAAATCTCTTTTACTTGAGGTTAGCTTGCAAGGCATTTACCTAATTGCCACATACACCCTCTGCCGCCTGCGTCTGGAGCAGAAACTTCAAACGACGCTGTCAAATCGCATACGACTCAAACACCAAAAAGGAGTAATGCCCTCTCTTTGTTCTCTTTTTAGAATGAGTGTTCTTGAACTTAAAAAAAAAAGGGGAAAAAAAGGAGACAGCGGCGGGTCAGCAATTCACATGCCAGATGAATGAAAATAAGAATGGTGGGGGTGAAAATGGTGGGAGGGATTATTTAGAGCATCTTCAAAACGATGAGCCGCACGTTCAAAGGAAGGGGAAGACGGGGCGCGAGCAGCAAGAGGACTGGGTTGCAGGGCTGCAGCTTTGTCGCATTTAGATGGGGGCCCAAAAAGAGAGGGGGACTTCTGAGCTGAGACGGAGAAGCAAAATGTGAATCATTGAGGGAGTAGGTACTGGTTGGTGGGTTCTGGGCTCCTTCCAGGGCCCTTTGAAGCTGCTCAGATTAGTAACACGGCATTGGCTACAAGTCTAGCGTGAAATCCTCACTTTTGCCACAACTAGGCCAGCTTTGGCCCCCCTATAGGCAAGCAAGCACTCCACCCACCAAACACCTCAAACTAGTCTCGATCTCTAATAACCCTGCAGCAGCACAAGACATTGTGTGAACAACTATGAAGGGTACAGATTGCATGAATATCATTTTTGTCTCAGAGTGGTTAGGTACATTTTATTGTTAGGAGTTACTTACACATCACTCTGGTGAGTGTAGACCCGGTCAAAAAGCGCTTCGGGAGCCATCCACTTTACAGGAAGGCGGCCCTGTAGACAGACAAAAGCGAAAAGTCGAACAAAGCGATCAATCAACTTTCATATCTGGCCTGATCAGCATTTTTGACGTCTTTCGGGAGATTGTTACTCAAAGAGAAGCGGGAGTGCCTCGGAAGAGTCATTCTCCCAGAGGAACATTTACAGAGTGTTCAAGCAAGGGAGCTGATGAAGAGGTCCTGGATAATGCGCAGTATCTCTCTTTGTGCTATTAAAGCACTGACTGGTAGGCAAAACTATCCAGTCTGCCCCAATCGTTATGTGTTTGATGGCTTGGCGACTCATCTGTTTAGTTAAGTGAACACTGGAATGAGTCTTTGCGAAAATGTATATAGCCATTTATCACAGGGGTTACCTTCTCGACCACAGCTGTCAAAGTCAAGGCCCGGGGGCCAGATCTGGCCAGCCACATCATTTTATATGGCCCGTAAAAGCAAATCAAACATGTCAAGTTCCATGATGCTTGCTAAAGTCAGAACCAAAATTTCAAATTGTCATATGTAATCCACAATAACAGTCATTATTCTTGACTTCTGATTTTAAAACTAGTTATTCATCAATTTGCTGTGCGCTGTGTAGGTAAGATGTGGAGGGGATTAAACATTGATATGGTTATTCAAATTCATAACGGCCCTCCAAGGGAAAACGGAACTACAATGTGACCCGCGACAAAAATGAGTTTGACACCCCTGTTCTAGACCCTTCTGAAATAGATGAAAATTCACAATATAGAGAGATAAAAAAAAAACAACTTAATCTAGATTTATCCCCCCCCCCACATGCTTTAAACACATTATTAAAACCCACTTCAACTTATTAAAACACATTAACCTGCTTGAACACAAAAACACTAATTGTCAGAAAAAAAAATACATATCAAATATTGTATTGCATGATGAGGTGTCTCTTGCCTCTTCTTGCGTCCCATAACTGGCTGAAAAGTGTATCAACAACTGTGGCTCTCCTTTCCCACATGCAAAGGCATTATAGTAAGTATATTGTTGAAACGATTGCTTAAAAAAATGTGACAGCAGAAGCGTGAACAATGAACCGTGACATAGCTGTACTAAAAAATACTACATTATAGCCACATTTGGATAACAGAATTATTACACAAAAAATTCATGTTTGTATGTCGACACATTGAAAAAGTAAACACAAATTAAAGATTAACAGCACAACAATGGCAGCTCTGTCTAAATGTCACGTAAGCGATCGCCATCAATGTCACGGCTGCCATTGCTATAATCATCATTACTCTCAACATCACTGCATACCGTTGTTGTTGTTGATAGCCTGTTCTCAGCATGATCGTGCATGGGATGAAAAGGCAAGCATGCATATGAAATGAGGGCGCGCGGACTGGGCTGCTCTGCGGTGGGAAAGAAAGACACCACTGGGCTGCTATGGAGTTGTCAATTATGTTTAAACTGCTCCCCCTCTCACTGTGTCTCTCTTTTTGGCTAATTGTATAAGTGCCTATGAAACTAAAGGAGGGAGAGGGATAAACAAGGCAGTCTACAGAATCCCGACATTCATAGACTGCCTGGGAACCTGCAGCTTCTGCCAAGACGCTGCAAATCCAAGAAGAGAGTGAAAAAGAAAGATGAGGGAAGAGAGCGAATTTGGATGGGTAAATAAATCACAGTTTGTAGCTCCCCAAGACGAGGCCGTCCCTCAAAGAGCGCGATGCCATGTGTGCAACATGCAGGTCGATGACTCACATTGGTTGTCTTTTTATAGTAGTCGATGTTATGGACATCACGGGCCAAACCAAAGTCAGCGATCTTCATGACGTTGCTTTCTGTGACCAGGACATTCCTGGCTGCCAGGTCTCTGTGTATACACTAGGATGGAGAGAGTGAGAAATGCAAGGGTGGGGGTGGGGTGGGGGGGGGGTTACAAAGTGGAAAAAATGAGGGCAAGGGAAGAATTAGACATTTACGTCACTCTCCAAATAAATGAACTCTGAATCTCCCGGACACAGGTAGCACTGCCCTGAATAGCATCACACGACAAAGTCTGCAATCCTGTGAACGTGTCTGAAACGTTCGGATTCCTCTTTTGCCACATGCCTGGTCAGACACAGATCTGTAGGTCACGCATGTGCAAGAATGTGTATGTGTGTGTGTGTGTGTGTGTGTGTGTGTGTGTGTGTGTGTGTGTGTGTGTGTGTGTGCGTGCGTGTGCGTGTGTGTGTGCAAGAGTGTCACATTCCAACAGTGAGCGGGAGCTAGAAGGCTGTCTTTGGACAACATGGCTGCACTACTATTGTGGAAAAAAAAATACAATTCCTCCACACAGAGGGGCCTTTGTCATGGGATGAGACACAATGAAGAGGTTGGCCATAGGGGTGACATTAATGTTTTTAAAAGATAAAACCCCCACTGTGACTCACAAGTGCCGGCCATAGCAAAAGCAATACAACACAATAGCTGTGCCCACCCCCACCCCCTCTCCCCCCAAATTCTATTCTTTGTAGCCAGTAGGTGGCCTTTTGCTTGTGGAACACATCGTACCTTTTGGGATGCAAGGTACTCCATGCCCCGTGCCACTTGATAAGTGCAAGAGACCAGATCTTTGAAAGTGAGCTGTTCGTCAGAGACACGGGCAATGTCGTAGGAATACTCCATTCCAGGAGGTCGGCGGGCTCGGAGGTACTCCCGAAGGTTACCTTTGGAGGCGTACTCCACGATCACATACAGGGGGCCTGCATTGGGGGGGGAAGATGGCATTTACTTGTTGAATGTAGTTGAAAAACCTCAAAATGTCAGTGCACTAAAGAAAAAAAAGCTTGGCGTACTCCTAGAGACACGGACACAAACTTAGTTTGCCTTTGCTTACCATCTTGTGTGCAGGCCCCCAACAGATTGATGATGTTCTTATGTTTACCGATCATCTTCATCATTTCCATCTCTGACACCAGGTCAGACAGGTCCTTTTCGGTGGCGTCATCTGAAATCAGAAGAAGAATGATCGAAAGTTGCGCTGGGGAAACAAACACGCCTACGCCTTGCCTTCCTTCTAACCCTTGACTCACAGCTCATTGTCAGCCAGTCAGACGGCACCTTGTTTCGTAGTGTGCTTTGATTAAACGCAGCTGACAGACAATGTGAGCTACAGTTACACCAGTGAGGGGGGATCCTCACGCAGACTACAGGAGCACCTTTGCGGTGCCAGGAGGAGGAGAAAAGAATGACTTAAAGATGCTCAATCTAGATTCATTATCTGCTGCAAAAGCTCACTTTTCACAGGAGAGTGGTTGGATCCACAAAGCCGGAATGGCATTGCCCGAATTCCTCGGCCTCAGCAGCTGAACGCAAGAGCCCATTTCTATAGACAGGGTTGGTCTGCTGCTTTACCTGATCCTACCCCAGCACTGTTGCTGCTTTCATTAATAACAGCAGTGTGACTTGCGTCTTTGTGTGGCCGCTGAATGAGCTTCACCCAGCTGCTGCTCTGGGGTCGGCTATGTGACCACTCCTCACCCTTACCTCGACCACCCGCCATCCCCATAGGGTGTCCTTCGGCAACCACCACCAATAACAAATAATAATGACTCCCCCAGGCTCCACTTTCCCCTGCAATGAACTCTGACTGGAGCATATATCACATATAAAATGTGCTCAAGTTGCCCACTTAGAGTGAAGTGGTCTACTCGGCATCCTCGTAATCAGATTTTTGGTCCAAGTCAGCTGTTTATAGTTACAACCCAAATACCTACAGGACCTACTCACCTTTCAGCATCTTGACAGCGACAGTTAAGGCCTCTTTGGGTTTGTCTTTATCAATGCCGAGAGCTTCTGCCATGACAACTTGGCCGAAGCAGCCCTCTCCGAGTGGTTTGCCCAGAGTCAACCTGCAGCCGCACACAATAAAGCACAGACAGGGCTCTGATTAGCAGTTGATATACAGAGTCAAACAGACACCACCGATTCACGTGCCAATTCAGTCCTACTGGATGAAAGTGAGTGTGCGTGCGAGTAAAAGAGGCCAGGAGTCACGCTTGCTTGGTCCTTACATTTCTTTTTTATGTTTATTTTTTTTCATCAGCTCTAGTTTTGATCAGATAATGAAGGTGAGTGCTTAATTGGCACAGGTGACTGCTTTAAGACCAGTTGGTAGAAAGGTTGACATGGCAAAAATCTGATGAAGCCCGCTGATGAAGGCACTCACTTCCAACCTGTTTATCATGCTTTGGCATGAGCTAATATACACTTACTTGTGGCATTCCACAAGCTCTCTCAGCCCAGACACATTCACTTGTGACGGGTGGGCCGCTGCCAAGGTGCTGCCACACCGGCGGACCTCACTTTCAGTTCCACATGGAAATGTAATTACCTATGTTTAGTATGCCATATTGTAAATGTAAACTACGTTACAGTGAAGTATCGTTCACAGATGTAAGCTTTTAGTTGGAATCGTGTGGGTGGCGAGAAAATACGGGAGAAAGATTTTCACTGACACGGTCAGCCATCTACAGTTTGGGTTGCTCGACTGTTTGTTTTTGTTTTTCTTTGTCTTTTGATTGATAAATGTCGCTCCCACCTCTAAGTTTCAGCATCTTGGCTATGTAAATGCTCAGTGCAGGCCAAGAAAGGTCCGGGACCCGAGGCCAGCAGCCTGCCACAGTAACACAATCCCCTATCTGTCTGCACATGATCACCACACTCAATGGCCACCATTCTGTCCATACAGCCACACATAATTGATGTTATTTTTTTTCCCTCCGCACAAGCCGCAGACGTTTGCATTCCTCAGCATTCTGCAATTCCAACATGATCCCTCGGGCTTTGGGTGACAAGAGCAGTATAAAGGCCCAGACTGACATACACGGACATTGATTCAACCTAAAAAAAGTCTCTCTTTTCGCCAATAGAAAATAAACACAAATCTGTATGATGGTTAACTACGTGCTTGTTTGGGGCGTTTCAGTTTTCAATGCCTGTTATTTTTTTATTGAGGTTATAATATAATGGCTATTACCAAAATCAACATTTACGCAGTAGACAGTGCACGGTTATACTGTGATAACCGTGATAAAGCTCTTTTCTAGTTTCTAATTAGCAGTAGAAAAGGGTGACCGGGTTGCTGCAATGTGGAATTTAAATTACTTGCAATGACTATTTATTTTCTGGATAACATTGCACGCTGTGTGTAATTTGTGGTTTGTGAATATCACCTCAAAAGATCCAATGTGATTAAATCAAGCGAAACAATTGAATCTTAGCGGGTAATAAATATGATTCGTGTTCAGACAAATTAGATAACAATCGAATCTGCTGACCTGTCTCTGACAAACTCCCACCGCGGATCCTCAGGAAGGTCATACTCAGGGATTGGGTCATCGTGCGCAGAACTGCGCCGTGTGGTGATGCGTACGAGTGGCGTGTTTGAGTTCATGGAAGCACTGGAGTCAGCCGACACCTACAGGTACAAAGAGATTGGCTGATCACCACTATCTGAGTTCAAAAGACAGACAAAGCTCTTGGCCATCACTAGAGGAGTTACTTTCAGCACTTCTGTGTTGCTTCGCTACTGTACTTGTATTGATCTTATCAGCAGTGTTTGCACACACAGCATATTAGTTTGCTTGATTTCAGAACTTCCTGCATGGGTTATCATTCTGTGTTGATTTCAATCAAGAAGTGAACACCAAGAATGTGTGAGAAGCAGCCTTCCGTGCTTCTTGTTTTCCCTTTTTTTTCTCTCTACACTCATCTTACCTCGACACAGGATTCAGTTTCTCTGCAGGTTGCATCCAACATTTTTTTTGTACCTTTTGACTCCACTTAAAGGAAAAGCATGACTCAAACATACACATTCACATACTGGAGTAGAGTTGACTTGCCTTAGACAGTAGCTTTGAGATGCGTGGTTCCAAGTACAGACCTTTAAATGTGGATTATTAATATGTATTTAAATTTTACCAACCACGCATCATTTTTTTTTTTTTAATTGTTGAAGTAAACCGTATTCTTGTCTTGTGCTTGCGTGTCTGTTTTGCTCCTCTAGAGGTGTTAGGTGCCATAGAACTCTTTATCTACTTTCTGTTACCTGGCGGCGCAGTGGGATCTGTTTGCTTAGTTTGTGAACTGCGGGTTGGCCACTAAAGTCCGGCTTTTTGGCCGTGTTCCTCATGCGGCACACCACCACGATGCCCACCATGCAGGCGATGAGGAAGACACCTGCGCAGTAAATTGCGATCTCCACATAATCGGGAGAAAGGGGCTCCATGTTTTTCTCTGCAGCTGAGGCAAATAAAGGAGGGACAGTGAGAGAGAGAGAAAGAGATTGTTTGATTAATGGAAACGTACTGATCACTCTTGCACACCGTTGCACATGGATGTTCTCCATTCAAATCAACACACACGGACAAACACAGACACGGCTGCTCAAGGGGTGACTCATGTAAATGTAATCACCGTCAACCATAACTTAACTCTCTCTTCTCCAGGTACCAGCATGCCGAGTGTACCATGTGAGCACAACAAGAAAAAGACAATACATGCCTCACTTAGAGGAAGTCAACCCCAACATTTTCTTTCCAGTAATATCTTCTATGCACCTCCACTAGTCGAAACACGGCATCCTGATTAATATTGTGTTTGTGGAATATGAGTTAGGCAGCAAAATCAACTCGTTTTTAGCCATCTCATGGGGTGGCCATTTTGCCGCTTTCTGTCGACTGAAAATGACATCACACTTGCAACTGATATGGACAAAAACTGATTTTACAGCTTAAAATCATATCCCACAAACACAATATTAATGCAACACTGTGTTTAGACTTGTGGTGGTGCATAGAACATATTATTGGAAAAAATATTTGGGGGTTGACTTCCCCTTTAATTTCACAAGCGAAAGAGTGCAAGAATATGAATTCATGGCCTTTGTGGTTTGTGCTTCCAAGATGGATTTCTCAATAATGAATGAACCCTCAAAATCATAAACGTGCGCATTTTCAATATGAAGCCAGTTAAGAAGCGCTCCTGCCATCCACATGGGGGTAACAACATACAACGTACCCAAAGTAGGAGGCTGTTGGTAGACGCAGTTGAGAATAATTCTCTTTTGAAGGAGAAATGAGGCCACAATGAAAAGAGAAATAACATTAATGTAGTGCTTGAAGTTCTTTCACAGGAAAAGACGTCACAATACTGATGATGGTGTCGGGGTGACAAAATACATTGATGATGAATTAATTCATGGTTTGTAAAAATTATGTACTTGTGAATTTAGAACTATATTAAGCATATTTCATCTCATTATGGCCATCACTATTTTCATGAAATTACAGTATTGTTGACTTTTTTTTTTTTTTAACTTGACTACAATATTCCCATAATTGCATTGCTTCTTGTTTTCCTCTTTTCACTGAGGCCCTAATTCTTATTTGTTATGGTTCAGCCATGGTAACAATTTGTATTGTTTGCGAACAAAAAAAATCGTATGCTATTTATTTAATATCTGTGACAAGTGATATTCCTGTACTTAATTTTGGTGTGGACTGCTGAAACCAACTAGTGTGTGTGTGTGTGTGTGTGTGTGTGTGTGTGTGTGTGTGTGTGTGTGTGTGTGTGTGTGTGCGCGCAGCAGAGAACAGATATAGCATGACAAAAGTTGAGCAGCAAACATAAACAACCCAGCACTTGCATACATGAGTTTTTTTTTTTTGTTTTTTTTTGTTCCATAGGCTGAGTTTGGGCTCTGATAATTTAGAAAGTCAAGCCAGATATCATGCACAAATTCAGCTTTTACTTTCACTCTTTATTTCAAGATGAAATAAAGACTCAAGGAGACAACAATTATCAGAGCCAGGAAAAGAGTGAAAATGAGACATGTACTGACAAAAAGTTGCCTGAATTGCTCAAGACCAAAATATGGCACCGGCATGCTAATTTCAAGGAGCAGGAGAGATGTGACAGAGTAGAAGGTGAGAGACAAATCCTCCCTTCCCCTTTGGAGACTGGAGATGCTCAAGCTGCTCTGGGAGCTCCACTTCCGTCCCCGAGTTGTAGTAATTTGTCTGCAAACGACCCTCTTATCTCCTTTGAGCTTTCAACAGCTTTCCAGTCCAGATCATATTCAAGAATATATGGCCCTTGTTGCTCTTGCATGACGCTATCTTGGGTTACGACCATGCACGTTCATCTGAGTTACTGAATATTTGAGCTATGTGCCTTCTACTCCAGAGGGAAGACTTGCCTTCTCGACACCAATGAAACCACACGATCCAAATATGTTGGACCATACTGTTGGAAGAAATGCAAGGAGAGGACAGTTAAAGAGTGTATTTACCTGGAAGAACCGTCAACCAAGCAGTGTGATAGGAGAGCCCAATAGAATTACCCGCCAAGCACGTATACTCCCCAGCATGTTCAAATGTTACATTGGGCAAGTAGAGAACTTCTATCTCCTTATCTGTGGTGTTTACACCCGCGGTCTGGAGAGAGGAAGAAGGAGGAGGTGGAAAAGAAGAAGGAGAGGGTAGATAAGAGGGGTGGGGGGGGGGATGGGTAAAAAATGAGGGGGGACAGAGAGGAGAAAAAAATGAGACCCAAAACACCAAGAAAGAAATAAGAAGATGGTGTCCAACGATGAATTCCCTTCTACAGCAAAGATGTTGGGTGGATGAAACAAGGTGGGGGTGTGGTACAAACACAAGAGTAAAAAAAGAGCCCAACACATCACCAAAACATGTGAAATTAAAGGCAAATAAATCAGATAAAACATCCCATAGCCATACTACGAGACTATATAATGCCGACATTTGAACGGGCACATGCACACACAAACACAGAGAGCATGGAGTGAACTGCTACATACACTACGTATTGACACAGCAGACTCGACAAGCGATAAGAAACAAATGTGTGTGCTGTGACAATTTTAGTGTTTAGGTAGGCAGCTCCGCTCAATGCTTCCGAGGCTGAGCCACTGTCAGCAGCTGCAACACAAAGGTGTAGCATTAGGGGAGGGACGGTCGTGAGGACCCAGGATCACCAAGAGACCACCAATAGGACCGCCACAAAATAGCAGGTCAGGGTTGAAGCCCAGGAAACCACACCAGGAGAGGAGGGAAGACCGGTCAGGTCTTTGGGTTACCTGGGATGACAGTCAGCCAGCCAGATTGGTTGGCTTCCCCTATATAATTGGAGACTTTACAGATATACTCTCCAGCATCATCCGGCGTCACGTTGGTGAGGTTGAGCACCTCTGCGTTGGAGCTGTTAATGCCTGAACGCTGAAATCCACACATTACGACAGGACATAGTCAACAATAGAATCATACAGACGTGCTAACATGACGACAACGGCTTCAATGAAATGCACAAGTAGGAGAAGAAGAGGATATCGGGAGCCACGATAGATACTGTAAAACCTGTTAATATAACACATTGGTGAGAAGAGAACAATGCCATCAGTTCCTTGCGGCCACTGGAGAAAGACTTGTAGAGAAAGGGAGAATCATTTCAATCCAATCCGGAGAATACAAGAGGTGATGTACCTTTAGCACTTTGACATAAGGGTTCCCATCGGGACCATAGCGACTGCCGTTCTGAGTGATGTGCTTCAGCCACTGAATGTGAGGTTGGGCGTCGCTGTACACTTTGCAGACAAAGCGGGCGTCTTCTCCAACATAGACGGACGTGTTGGCGGGCAGGCCGGCTTGGAGAATGGGCCGGTGAGGAGACCGCTCTGGACAGTGACAAGATTCTTTTTAGTTTCGACTCCGAATGAAACAGACATCCACAAATACAGTGGGTATAAAAAGTCTACACACCCTTTATATGTTACAAACAAATGAGACCAAAATAAATCATTGAAAAATAATTTCCATACTTTTCCACCATTAATGCGACCTATAACATGTGCAACTCAATTGAAATGTATGTTTGTGTGTGTGTGTGTGTGTGTGTGTGTGTGTGTGTGTGTGTGTGTGTGTGTGTGTGTGTGTATCGATTTTTTTTTTATAGCTGTCAGGTTAACGCTCATATTAATAGTGAGAAAATGTTTTTAACTGATTTATCTTGATCTCAGTTTTTTTATATCACAAAAAATGGCATTTGAACTGAGATGTGTAGACCTTTTGTTGTGTTTATGGTCATAACAGTAAAAATGACCCTTCAACCTCATTTCAACCAAATCAAGCCTTATCAGTGTTTAATCGATTGCAGCTGTTTGAACTCTGCGGCCTTGTGGAAAAGTGGCTCTATGGTCCACAAGTACAAAAAGTACTCAATTGTGGTCCTCATATGATGGTCTTCCATTCCTCTTTGTTAAATAATTAGTAGTTTACACTGGTGTGGTGTCACACGATTTACAGAGCTAACACAGACATTGTCATCCCACATACATAGCCTGTCGTGGAAACACTAGCCACTAGAAGTGGTCAGCTTGGTGGGAATGGCTATCAGAAAGCGAAATGTCTTGAAACCAGATGGTAAACATCTTTAGATCATGTATTTCATTTTAACGATTACAGTATCTCCAGGACTTCCTGAGTTCTGTGTACAAAGATTTCCTGGTGAACTTGGATGGACAGAAACATGACTGCTCTCTTATCGGAGAATAATTTGGAAGCCAAAGACACGGCGTTATATCCTTGAAGGAATTCACGTTGGAGGAGGACTTCCATAAAGTTAGGTGTTAAAGCGGCATGGCAGTCGGAGAGTTATGCTTGCATGTGTGTTGGAAAGCGAAACACCTTTGCAGCACCCCCCACATGTCCTGCTATCTGCATTCTTCTGCAGGCAAACATTTGGACTGCAAATCCAAACAGAGCGAGACCTGTTGAACAATGGCACCCTTTCAAACTGCATCGGGCCGCCGCAAGCGTGCTGAGGAGCCCACCAACCCCCACGCTGACAGCAACCACTCACTGCCATCAGGCACACACATTCACATGGAATGACATCACTCAGCCTGAGGCACTGTATTGCTTTTTCAAACAATGCCTGAAGGTAAGTGCAGTGGGCCATTAAAGTTAAAGGTGAAAAGGCTCGGAATTCAGAGTTACCAAATGAAGGAATGGGATGAGGGGTAGTCTGCTTGCTTCCTTGATGGTATGTTTGTGTTTCTGTATATCTTTCAGTAACGTGTCAGACAAGATGCTTCTCACTCCTCCTCCTTCCCATCCCTATCCTCCTTCCTGCATCGTCATTGTGCAAGTGTTCATCATCCCCCACCACTGTTGTTGTTGTTTTTTGTTTTATTTTTTATTTTTTTAACTCCCCATCTAGCTAAAGCAAGTTCACTTTCTCTAAGTCGAAAGGTTTTACGGACACAGCAAGGGAAACAATGTTACAGTCACACTTTTCCCAGTGTAAATTGCAAGTGACAATAAAAAAATAACTGACCAAACCAAATCATTTGTCACCATTTAATGTCCTGAGGAAATGCACATAACCGGAACAATCATGACAGCAGTCACTGGCAAGACATCCCATCCCGCACACGAGAGCAATACTGAAGGGGGGAAGACGTCACCTCAGATCGAAACCCAAGAGAAACGTCTTCCGGTACTCTCAAGCGTGATGATAGGAAACGTTTTTATAGTTACACGATACATAAATGTATCTATCAGCTATTGATAGTAGCTTGATTTAGAAAATTTGAATGGTGAAATGGTCACCAGGTCATGATTTGCAATGGAGGCAAAAGCAGACACATTGCAGGATACTCTATTGTAAATCCTCTCCGACCTTGTGACCCGGCAGAAGAAACACGGCCACTTGATTTCAGCATCTCCTTTGACGCTCCACGTGTGTCCTTTCATCATGCATGTCCACTCATGGTCATCCAGCCATTATCCTTGCTTCGGAGGGGCCAGTTTGAGCCAGAAGTGACTAGTTTTGCCTTGTTTGCCTTGTTTTAACAGCTAATCTTGTGGATCATTTGGGGGAGGGACACTCATATGAACAATCTTTTTCTTCTATTCCCCCTCCTGTTCTGTTCCAAACCCTCTGCTCTTCCTTTGTGGGCCACATTATAAAGAAGTAAAATGAAGCAAGAGGTTGCAGGGGGCAGTGGCTGTGGAGCCAGACGTTTAGAGGCTTTACTGCTCAGCTATAAAACAGAACAAAAACAGAAATATGCAGTCCAAAGCAGAGCTTTGGCTTACTGCAGAATCAACCAGAGCAGGGGGCCCGAATTAGGGAGTGCGAGTGTGCATTTAGCATGCACTTATTGGGCAAGAGCCCTCAGGTATTTAATCTCCATTTGATAAAACCAGAAAGAAATGTGACTTGAAGCACAAATGTACAGGTCCGTTCAGGACAATGCCGAGTGGGGTAGTATTTGTCAACACAGTCTCACGCAGTGACCAGTGGACCCTTTAACATCTTTGTGTGAATCAAACATCTGCCACTAAACATCAGCCCGGTTGTGGATTATTGACCTTTTCAGTCAGATAAGGGCGTCCATGTGATTACTCTAAAGCGATTCGAGCAAGTCCTAACGAGAGAGAGTCCGCACCCCAACGTACACGCTCACATCGATCCTCAGTCGTTATCCTACTGTGGTGCTGCTGACTATTGATTCTGCTAACTCAGTAGAAAAACACTTTGCTTTGTGTGCTCCAAAGGTCATTGAGAAGGGTTGACCAAGTCTGATGAGGGGAGTAGTGCTGACCCCAGCACACCACATGTGCTACTGCCTTAGTGACACTAAATAATTATCGAATAATGAGTCCGTGAATCACCAAAAGCGTAATCAAACTATTCATCCTGAGTGGAAAACAAATAACTGTAAATGATTTTGAGGTTAACTGTTCGAGGCAACCAGATTACAAACTAGTTGAATCTTCTAATTGACGAACCAAGTGATGAAACAAACATACATTTTGAATTGTGAGTTCCATAGCCCTCCCACCCCCTACCCCCACCACTCCTTCTAAATTAGCATAAACTAAGACTTGTACGTTGTATCACTACTGACCAACAACATCCAGGGTGTAGGTGTGGCTGATGGATCCAAACTCATTCTCCACCAAGCAGGTGTAGTTGCCTTTATCCGATGGAACCACACTTTCCATAATAAGGGTCCAGTGCTGACTTCGGACCTGCAGAAGCAAGTTGGTGGAGTCATAAGATGTGTACAAGAAAGAAAAACACTCACAGAGATCTAAAAGTACTGTAATAGAAAGTAAAAGAAGGATAAGAGAACAACAATCTTAAGGTAAAGGTAGGCGATGGATGGAAGGTAAAGATGATCAATTTCACCTCCAAACATTTTAGTGTAAGGATAATACAACAATACCTACTTTTCAATTTTTTTTTAAATATTTAATGGAATCCAAATGACTGACGTTTAAAATGACAGAGTAGAATTGCAAAATGTTCCCGCTATCAACTAATTTATCAGCCGGTTACAAAGGACGCGGTTTACGACAGAGTCCTGTTCCTGCAAATATGACGTTATGCAAATTTGTACAGTAAGTCGAAACACAGAGTAGTCTATCACTAACCTATGCTAATGCAGTAGTAAAGCCAACAATTATTACAGTAAATATATGAACCAAAATACTTCTGGATAATGCCCATAAAACAAAAAATTAAAAATAAGTATTGTCGTGGTAACTAAGCATGCCTATTTTGTGCCGACATATATTAAGAACGCCACTAAAGTAGTCGGTGATGACGTGTTTCAAACATTGCAACCAATGTTGGGAATCGAAAAACCACAACCTCCTGTACTTATTTTTATTATTTCAAGGCGCTAAATGAGTTGCATCAGTGTGTGGGGCCCATATGACCAAGCAACAATAAAAAACAATTTCTGTCTACATTCAGAGTGACTGGAGCGAGACAAGGCCACATCGCACACAAAGGGAAGCTTATGCCACAGCCTTGGGCTCAGGTAGAGCTTTTGTCAAACGTTTGTGGACAAAAAAAGAAAGAAAGAAAGAAATGAGCTCCCTGAGGTTTGTCTAACAGGATGAATGTATCATTTTCACTTGGCTATTTTTTGTCTGCATTGTAATAAACCTGCTAAAGGCAGAATGGATGCAATATTCGCAGCTATGTTAACACAATCGCCACCTTAAACTCTCCTGGTGGGGCAACAATCAGCCTTTAGCGGTTTCGCTTGCTTCACTGTAACTTTCCGGGAAGTTCCAATCATCTAATTTACTTCCCATGTGCAATTATTCTTCTTTTGACAAAGGAAAATATAACAGACATTTCTAGTATGAGATAAGATGAGTAACGTGTCCAATTGTTGGAACCGTGTTACTGCTTGAAGAAATTGGTCATGTTTACGTACAAACTGTTTTCTGCGTCCCGAAAGAGTAACCTTATCCATTCATTTTCATTGTAACCAAAGCATTAAACGAAGTCGCGTCATGCACAAGCTCAGCAGAAACCTGCTGCGGTTATTCACTGACCGTTTAGTGAATCACATGAACGACAACTCCACACAAATAATAGCAAGCGGGACCCGTTTTCCCTGATTGAGTTACCTCAGGCTCTTCTCACTTCACACCTGACACTACCCAATTTCTCTTACTGCCTGTGGGCGTATTGCGCCCTTAAGTCCCACGCCTGGCTCTGTAATGAGTTACAGTGAGAGATTCTGCAAAGTCTCCTGGTGAGAGGAGGCTCAGGGACGAGCAATTCCAATTTCACACCATAAACCCTGTCCTTGTTTCCTCCGTCTCCGTTGGAGCATGAAAACGAGGTGAAAGGACATTCAGAAGTATTAGAAAACAAAATTGGACTATGACCGCAAATAGCTGGAATGATGATAGCACAGAGATGGGAAAGTCTGACGTCAGACATAAACAGAAGTATGATTTAGTAATGTTTGTCCTACCTTATAACCTCCCATGCGGTCCTCTTGGTGGAAGGGCCTGCTGTTTTTAAGCCAGTGCAGCTGGGGCCGGGGGTTGCCTCCTGCAGCACAGCGGAACTTGACTGTGTTGGCAGCTGGCACTGCATGCAGCTTCTTCTCCATCTTTGCAGCCGAGGTCCAGTATGGGGCGCCTGCAAACAGTTGGCCAGTTAGGCTGAGATCCCTAAAACATGTCATCAGTGTTAACTCCATGGCCTTGGGACCCGAGACGGTGATAGGTGGGGCTGCAGAAAAGCCAAGAGCGGGCTTTCCCCCAATCCAACAAGCCACAGACCCTGAAAATCACCTTGCTGACATTGATCGACACACTGCCTGAAGAACTCAACCCAGAGGTGGAACACTCACACAGGTCAATAAAAACACACTTTCATCTTAAAAAACTGGACAGGGTTTGCCAAAATGAAAAAAAAAAAAAACCAAACAAACAAACTTTTGTCTAGGAGAGAAGGCACTTGGTATTGCCAAGAGGGTAACTGGACTATTACATTCAATTTCACCTCATTCAATTTAGCAGCTTTCCTTACTCCACTTCCTCCAATTCCCATAGCTCCCGTCTTTATCTGCCTGTCACTTGGCACGATGCAGAAAGCAGGACCACAGATGCTTATCGCCCTTGGAAAACCATTATGTGTTGTCGGAGGAGAAAATAGAAGCTACCAAAAAGGATCTCATTAGTTCACCAAACTCATAGTGGTTCTATAACATCTGTCCGCCTCTCTGACTGTGTTGTGTTTGTTTCTCCACATTTCTGCCGAGCAAGCAACTAGCTACATTTTGTTCCAAGCGCCCTTCCTGCCCCATTCTCCGTGCACCTGGGAGCATGATTGCCAAAGCAGATGGGCCTCAGAAGGAAAAAGAGAGAGTTTTAACGGCAACCTAAACGGTCTTCCACACCATCACTTCCCCTCTTGCACAACTGACAAACAGCAGAGGGAATTCCCACTCATAAGACCTCAACTGTCTTTCAAAGATATATTTACGGTGCATGAGAATATTGCTCTATGTAAATAGAGCCCATTCCGTTGGAATCTTTTTCGCTGGTACACCCCAGACAAGAAGCGCATTGTTGGAGAGTAAATTCCATTCTTCCTTCCTGGATGGATGCATACAGTATGCTAAGTGCTCAACTATAATTAGTCTTTCCAATTGTATCCCATCACTCTCTCTATCAGTCTCCCTTTATTTCTTGGTATCTTTACCCCTCACTGTCTTCAATTGCACTCTCCTTGTCAACACTCCTTGCATTCCCACAGACAGATTAGATGAAGACTGTCCCCATTGCAAGCCCGTCTCACCACAATGACCTCTGACCCCAAAGTGCCAGCCAGGTTGGAGGATGAGGCTAACACATGAAAGGTGAGCGCTGCTGTTTCCCATGCCCTCCGTCCGGAGGTGCAACACTTCAAACAAGATGACCCTCCAACCTCTCACCGGATGAAGTGGCCAACTGCTGTGGTGCCCAGGACACACTGCGCTCTCGTTGCCTACCACATCTGGATCCACAGTCATGGACCCTTATCTCAGGATGGCCCACGGTCAGCTGAGGTTATCTAACTCCTGCACTCTGAGTCTTTTTTTTTTCTTGCATAGTCTTCCTGAGAGTTAAATCACTTGGTCCAAAGTAATAATTCAGTGTTGTCATAGCCTGTAATCTAAAAAGGCTACACATATGCTGCATAGGTCACCACTGTAAAATTTTCACATACGGGAAAAACTAGACATCCAGATTCAAGTTTCAAGTAGAAAGTATTGTGAGTCTTGGTTGGGCAATGAGTATCTACCAAATGGAAAGCCTGATTTTGTTCAATCAAATTAGTTTTCAGTTGCTGTTTAACTAGGCTCGATGTCGATTCTTGATGTGGGAAACTTGGGTACGAACTTCCTACAAACCCTTTTGTTTCGCTCACTCGTCCCCAGCGTTCTAAAAAATGGTTTCTTCTTAGCGAGGCCTCTTTTACTATTTTATCATGTGTGTTTTCGTGAAACGGGAGGTCCGCCAACAGTGTCTGATGATGTAAACCAAATTGAGGAAAGCTCTCAACCAGAAAAACTGTGACAAACACATGGCTCTCTGCCTTCATCATGACATCAGTGTTACCCACCCTTCTCCAAAAGACAGCTTCCCTCACATGAAGCGGCTCCTCCATGTCTCCGCCAAAAGCCGACCACTGCCAACCAAATAAACTGCCTGTGGTTATTTTTTTATTTTTTTTCAAACCGCAGGAGTTGATCAATCTTTCATAAAGTTGATTTTAATCATTTGGAGTAAGTACAATGAACTAATTTGAGTAAAATGTATTCTGAATATTAAAGTGAGCTTGTCATCAGTATTTCAGTCTGTCTGTGTCGTCGGCGAGAGCCAAGCGGCGTTGAGTACGGACTTACCGGTAGTACTTCACACACAGGTGCCACGCACCTGACACGCAACCAAATACAGAAAAAAAATTCTAATAAAACAATGGTGTATACCATTCAGCCCTAGAGACCTCAATGGCGTGTCCCATATTGTTTTTATTTCACCAATCATGATGCTGTGCATGTATTTGTTGTTTTTATTTAGATTTCTTTTCTTAATTTGACCGCGTGTGTGTGTGTGATGTGAAAATTAGGTTCTCAACGCCGACTGACTGTCGCCAAAGAGTTACGGACTGGGTTCACGTGGGACGGGCTGAATACTGACGGAAGCAGTGATGGACTGACGAAGCACACACACACACACACACACACACACACACACACACACACACACACACACACACACACACACACACACACACACACACACACACACACACACACACACATCGTGTTCTTGCTAAATGTATTCTATTTTTTTAATAATATGTAATTGTACAGGCAGAACAGCTGCCCTCTGGTTTTTAACCACTTTATTACCAACGGGAGCTTCTGGATCTTTTCTCTTTTCCCATTTGCGCAGTGTTCTTGCTCGCTTCCTCCCCCATATTTAATGTTTTTCAGGCAACGTGAGCCCAAAAAGGGAGGTGGAGAAGCAATCAGTGTGTGCGTGCATGTGGAGAATTTTAACAAGATGTGGAAGCCCTCATCTTCACTTTAGCCCATTTTTGAGAGTGAGCGCGTGTCTGTGGATATGTATGTAGGTGGCTCCATGAACACATTACTAGCCTGGACATACTTGGGCAAAACTTTCTCTTTCGTGCACACACATACAGTAGCACAGACCCACTCAAACACACAGCCCATCAGGTAGGTAACTGGGTCCAGATGGATGTCTTATGTAAATAGATAAGACCAGCTGACTGACTGGCAAGCCAAATGGCTCCAAGAGGCCTGGCTACCTGCGAGACACAAGCTGAAGGAATGTCAGGAATCTCTGCATTCTCTGGAGCATCTAGTACACCCACGCGCCCAGAGTGGCGCGCGCAGACACACACACACACACACACACACACACACACACACACACACACACACACACACACACACACACAAACAGCAGAAATCGAGACTATGAGCGGAGAAATTGGTGTTTTGCTGCGACCAGTACTACATCCAATAAAATGAAGTAATTCTACTTCCTCTCTTTGCCTTACTATGTTCAAACAATCAAAATATCGCTAACATTACCATTCTGATGCTCCGCTGTCTTGCAACGAGAGAATAGCATCTCTGTCATTACTATGGCGACCCTGTGCCATCTACTTCAGTGATGTGCAAGAGTGGTTGACTGACCGAGGTCACTCGTCATGTTAGCACCAGTGTCAAAGCTAAAAACTACTTTAATTGCTTACATAAGCACGCTAAAATATTGAAACACAGAATTTGGAGGTATTGTGCACAAAATCACATGAAGTATTCAATTAGACATGTTACTGGAGTCCAATAATCATACCTTTAAGGTAGATTCATTTTATCAGGAGGTACAGAGCCAGACTCCCTTTGAAACCCTATTTCAGTCGATTTTGACTTTTTTTCTTCGAACTTTTCCCATTAAAAACAGATTCACAAACATCATGGAATCAGTCTATTAAAACTACACACAACAAATCAACCGCATAAAGTAAAGCCAACTAATAGCCATCCGAGCATAACGAGTAATTGAGCTGAGATCATGTTTTCCAGGCGTAAATCCCTCCCATACTCACTTAGCTGTTTTCCGTCCGCCCCTGTGTCTTCTGTTCGCTCTGTATCATCCTCATCATCCCCCGACGAGATGGCATCTGCACAGAGTAACTCGGGTTACTGACCCCCTTTCTCAGGCCATGCACATCATTATGCAGCAGCGCCCACTCTGTTTTGCGCAACGGACGAGTTTCATGCAAAGGAACATATTGGTGGACTAGCATAGAAACAAAAACAAGTTCAGTGCACTATTATGACGAATGCAGTTGTTCTAAATCAATGAGAGCTCTGCACTTGTTCCCATTCAATGAGACTTATGTCCACGGTACTAGTCTACTTCATAATTTTGTTTTGGTCGCCGTCATTTCAGAAGATCCTGGTTCAAAAAAGAAGCAAGGAATTCAGAGCAGTTTTTAAGCATGGTGCCGCATTTTACGCAAAGCAGGCTGGGTGCTTGAGAATTACTTCTCACGATGAACGTGTATTTTAAGTAGGACTACTAATATGGTCTCTCAAAAATACAGCTTTCTTTGTTGGAAGGGAATTTGTGGCTATTCTGCTCCTGACTCATCATTCAAACATTTGCCTCTTTCCAAAGAAGTTCTCCGCGAACGTTTACTTATTTTTTATTACCCATTTTTGCTAGCGAGTGGGTTTTCTTTTTTGTACACGCAGGTGACTGAATGTGATTTTCCAAATAAAACTTCTTTCAGGCTCTAATGACGAAGAGATTATTTTTATACAATCGCAGTCTGCTACAACCCTCTGCACCATTGTAAGATTATTATTATTATTATTCGCACCACCACCACTCCCACTACTACTACGACAACTAAATGCTTCTGCGTTCCGACATGTCGAGACTGTAGCGCAGGGGTTCTCAATCGTGCACACTGCGGGCCAGATTAGGCCCGCGAACGGCCTGTGAGACAATTTGGTCAATTCTAAAAATAAGTACGGGCTGCCTGAATAGGCGCCCCAAGTTCGCCAAACGGTCAGTGTTAGATGTACACAAGTTAAAAAGGTCTCCAAACTTATTTCACTGCAGTTTAACCATAGGATTGATTCTTCTAATTAATGTAGTGAATTTCTATGAAAAGGTCATTCTGCAATTATTTCATTCAATGTGTTGAATTTCTTGACCTATACAACTAAAAGTTAAATGTGCAAAGCAAGCTCTATATGGAATTGACCTGTATGTCACAATTTTACACACAACTTTAAGTCAGGGTTTGTTTGAAAAAAATATTCAACTACTGGGAACACAAACACATGACAGGACAAGGACATTATGTTGCCTACAGGGACAGTTTGAAAACAGCCATTGTTTCACATGGCCTTCAATCCATGCATGCATCCATCCACTTATCCATCTATCCATCCCTCTAACCATCCATCCATCTCTGCTGCATGGGACACAAGTGTTTATCACATCTATCTCACAGTTCTTGTGTTTGGGATTTGAATTGCAGGGGCTCAGGCATTCCAAAACCATGCATTTTTAACAACCAAAGGACAGAACAGACCAGACAAATATGTAAAAAAATATATCTATAATATACACGTTTTGCTCTTTGTTTGAATTTTTTAAAACATATTTGGTTTGGAGTACTGCAAAAGTAATTAAAAGTATTCAAGTTACTTTACTTCAATATTATAGTCCTTGAATTACATTGTGTGTGTGCCGCATTTAAAGGGAACGAGAGGAGCCATTTGAAATTGGCTGTGATCACTCCCACTGTGGCGCAGGCCTCCTTCTCTCCGTTCCGCCGGCCTTCATTAGTCTGTACAATTACCACTACTGGGTCTAACTTGCCTCTGTAAAGGAGCTACGCCGCACAGTGAGTAGGTTCAGGCCAGTCACAAAAATAGAGCCCTAATTGTATAAACTAACCCTGTCCTGTCCTGCCCTGCCGTGCCTGGGCCCTGACTCACCTGTGACATTGACTATGAAGCAGACCGTGTCTTTGCCCACACTGGTGCAGGCATACAACCCCGAATCCTTGGGTGTGGCATCACGGATCTGCAGCACCTCCTGCTCTATCAGTGTGCGGTTGTTGGTGCCCAGAGAGCTGCCATCTTTGGTCCAGGTGATGGTCCCCGTTGCCGGCAGAGGGCAGCTCAGCTTCAACACCTCCCCCGGGTGCACAGAGCACACCGTGGGCTTAGAAATTTGGTATTTGTTGGATGCGTCTGCAAAGCGAATGAGGATGGAGGAGGAGAGGAAAGGGGGAGTTGGAGTGGATGAAAAGGGTGCACAGGAAGGTGGAAAGAGAGGAAGAAACAAGCAATAGTGTAAGAAACAAAAACACCACAACACCACCAAATGGATGCACTTCAATTAACTTGTGCAGGCAGAGCAGAATATATACAGTATATATGTATATATATTTGTAAACGTCACCATCATGTATTCCCAGTGAAACATTTGAAACAAAGCCCCCAGAAAAAAAAAAACAAAACAGCAGTCACAAAAACAAATGTACAGTGTGATTGGTATTTATTGATGGAGAGCATGCAAAAGCCACAGCATTGTGAAAAATTATCTAAATCAACCATTGCATTGTTAGCATGAGAGAATTTAACATGGCTATATGAAGAGAAAGCTCCCAACCGCAACTAACATTAATTGAGATGCCAAGCAGTGTGTGTGTGTGTGTGTGTGTGTGTGTGTGTGTGTGTGTGTGTGTGTGTGTGTGTGTGTGTGTGTGCGTGAAAGAGAGAAAGTGAGTATGCGTAACTGATAGACTGCGGTCTAAAAAAAAAAAGGTCATACAACTGTGGAATGCATACCTGAGCGAAACAGCAGCCAAGAGGTCCAAGATGGAAGTTGTTGAGACAGAAAGGAAAAGAAGCAGGTGTTATGTGTTTTGAGTTTGGTGGAGGCTTTTCTCTGTTTCTGTCTTGTGACTTAACTTTTAAAACCCCTACCTGGCATTGACCTGACATTTCTGTTTTCCATTTCTGACTTCGTTATTCTCATTTATGAAATGTCCGTAGAAGAGCAACAACTACTGCACAAGATCAGCTGGCGAAGAAAGAGGATCGAAAAACCGCTCCGCCCCATATAGAGCGGAGATCCTAAATCTAAATACGTCAGTGAATGCCTGTGTGCTCACCATGTCTTGAAAAGACTATGATGGCTGTTATGGGACCAAGTGAATCTTCAATGACTCAAAGATGAGACTGCATTTCTACAACATAGGGGAAAATTCAACACTGGCAAACACAGCCAACTGCAATGTTTGAAATCCTTCACAACTGACATAAAAAGATCCATCCAAGTTCTGTTCTTTGTTGCAGCACAAAAATGATCGTCAGTCCACAGGGAAAGCGTCATGAAAATGGAAAATGGTAGTCATGCTATCGCATGGTGATGAATGGATATTTAGAGCAAGTGGCTTCAGGTTGATGCACGTAATTATGGAGGTTGAGGCACTCCCCACATTTCCTGTGCCTTAACAAACACACCTTTCAACCACGCTGCACCCACATGATGTCCTGCTGTGTGTATGTGTGTGTTAAGTGTCGCGTATACACACTCCAGCCTCAACAGGAAGGGAAATTCTGCTGCAAGCCAGCAGCCGCGGCATGTGTGCATGCCTCCAAACGTTCCTTTCCCCTCGGGCGAGTAAACACACACACACACACACACACACACACACACACACACACACACACACACACACACACACACACACACACTCAGGTACAGTTCCTGCATTGTCTTTTTTACTCTCTTTCCTTGATTCAGAAATAATTAGCCCTTCCTTCACCACTCTCAGCTACGTGTGTGGTCTGTTAAGAGGGAAGATGTCTTGTGCTGAATAACAGAATCTATTCTCGCCACGTTTTATGACGTGATGCCTGTAGGCCTTTCGAGAGGTGTGATTTGAAACTGACAAAACACTCCTACCTGACAGAGTCACAACCACACCTGTTAATATATTGTACACTGGTTATAACAAACACAAGGAGGGTCCCGAGATGGTCCACACTACAAATACACAGTGGCTACGGTTGGGTAATCACATCGTCATGCAGCTAACTAACATTAACGTCATTTTTTTTTTTTTGGGCCACACTTAATTTCGAAAGAAAGACGAACCCAAGCAAGGTGTGTTCGAAGAGGAAGAACTTTGGAAGGGAGAAAGAATACACACTGGAATCGACTCACGTTCATTTGTTATCAAAGTTAACATCCAAGTTAGCCTCTTTTACAGAGTAACAAACAACATCTGAATATAAAATGAACAGAAGTTCATTTTAAACTTGACTGACAGTTAATACTGGGCAAAAGCTACTTAAAATTTCCATTTTAGTTCACAAAAGTCTTTTGCTACTAAAAGTTTGATCCTGGAAATGGATTGTTTCTCTTTCCGTTATTTCCCATGGGATTTATTTTTTTTCCAAAGCCGATCAAATCTGAGATAAATGACTATCCAGGAACTGATTGTGTTACATAAACATAAACAAGAGGCAGAAGCGGGCTTCCAAATGGTGTGCTTAATTAAAGAAAGCATTGACGTGTTAGTTCTGCCCTCATTACGTTTTATCTCTGCTGGCTCCATTTGTGCCACTCCATCATCTCCAGCTCCCACTGCCTCCCGGTTTCTCTCTTTCACCTCACCTTCCATTTTGCCCTCTCCTTCCCCCGTTCCAAACACCCGCCTCCACGCTCTCACCCCTGACCCGGCTGACCTGACCCTGTTGACACCTCCAGCTTGCCTGACTGTTCATGGGAACCTGTGTCATATGTGAGCACACTTAAACATACTGAGAATACATCAGCAACCACAAGGAGCCTTAAAGGGCGGGATTAAAAAAACATGGATACAAGGTTTATAATAACAAAGGCGTCTATCATGCAAACTAACGCAAACACGTACACACAAGTAGAAGGACACATGCTGGGTTGAAGAGTTGAGTAGACAGATTTTTCATCCCTGCAAGGCTGAATCCCCCCACCCCTCTTCACCACAGGAGGGGTTGGGAAATCTCACTCATCTTTATTACAAACATACGTACTTTTGCTCAATATCCATCAGCTTCATCACTGTCGGTCCTTCTGAAGGGGAAAACATCTCTTTGTCTTTTCTGACAGTGATTCCACGCGTCACTCGTGAGATGAGAGTGGCCCACTCCAATCTCGATGGCAAAATGTGTATCTGATGGCAGGGAGTAAGTCTAAAAACATCTCTGCCATCCAACCTGCCTATTGATGTTTCAGTCTGCCCCATCTCATCGGGCGAGACTGAGCAGTGACGTGGAAAGTGGCAAAATGTCAAATAGCAATAACTTGGCTTACTTTTGTAGAAAGGCTCATTCAGCTGAAAGTCCACTTTACTATCTCTTCTGTCTCTGACTAAATGTAATGACTGCCATCTCATCTTAGAAGCTACACACATACACACACATTACTGAATTAAATTGTCTCCGCAACTCCTCTTATCCCTCCTTTTTCCTCTCCTCGTCCCTTTGCATCCTGCTCACGTAGAAAATCCCTCTCTTTCTTTTCTTGTTTTTCCCTCTTTTCTTTCTCTTTTTTTCCTCCTTTCACATTCAAATCCCCTCTTTGCTTTTTATGCTACTACAAAAGAGAGGCTCCGTGAACCGGTCCCCAGCTAACATCCATGGCAACAACCCCTTCATTTTGCCTGACCCCCCACTACCCATTCCCAATCAAAGTTTTCCCTGAACCCCACCCGACCCTTTCAACTCTGGCTACGTCTTATCTCTTTATAGGCTGAGATGCACTCAGCCTAAAGATGTCCTTCCTTCTATAACATGTACTATTTCTTTCAGATGATATTCCGTACACTCACCAGCCACAACATTAGAGACCACCATCCATCCATTTTCTATAGAGCTTATCCTCATGAGGGGCACGGTTGTGCTGGAGCCTATCCCTGCTGACTTCTGGCACGAGGCAGGATACATGACTGGTCACCAGCTAATTCCATGGCATATAACGTCACACACACACATTCACGCCGAAGGACGATTTTGATTCTTCAACGAAACTTATATGATGGATGGCGGACTACCCACACAAGCCCGGGGAGAACATGCAAACTCCACACGAAGAGCAAGGCCCAGATTCAAACCCTCAACCTCAGAACTGTGGAGCAAACATGCCAATCACTCAACCACCTTGCTATCATCTGAAAGCTACACCTGCACCATTTAACATTCCGTTAATAACACAAATGCCACAGCTAAACATCCACCACTGCCAAATTGTCAAATTGTTTGACTTTAACACACACTCGCCATCATCCACTGAGAAATGAAGGAACGCATTTTGCCTTTCCGCCCCAAAAAGAAAGATTTTTTTTGTTGTTGTTGCTGTTCAGTTTCTCTTCGATGCATTCAAATGTTCCCGTCCTCCTCAGGTTTTGGCTCTGTGAGTGAATGAACATTACATTGTAAGCAATTCAGAACGCTCATCTACCACGTGATGAATAGGTATCCACTATGCCTCATGGGAAAGGTTACAAATCAGGGAAAAACTGTCACTTATGTGTTAAATGCAAGCGCCATTAACTCGTAATTGACACTCGTATAACATAGGAATCTATTACTGTTTTCCTCTATCATCACCTCTGCCTCCTGCTGTGAACTAACGACACTTACGGTGTTAGGTTGGAGTTCAGGTCATTGTCAACATCATAACCCTCCCCCTCTCAAACACACACATTCTCCATGTCATTAGCTAGCCAAGTGACACTTTTATACTTTTACAGCTGCCCTCCTACTATTATGAGATAGCACGGTGTTACAAAATGGCAATAAACACACAACACACGGTGCATCTTCTCACACCCTTGACCACCATGACCATGACTGCTGACAACATACATGCATTTTTTTTTTTAAATCCGTGTACAATCAAACAAATATAAGTCTGCCAAGGCAACAACTACAGCATTCACACAGTCAACAAGAAAGAAATGAAGGCTGTCTCTCTTGAAAAAGTTCCAAATCTTAATTGTGTCAGTCTCAACATCAAAGGCTCAACTTTGCTGTCTTTAATTATCTAACCACTCAACTATTTGGAGTAGTTGGTCTCCGTGCTGCACAGAATGTTTTTTTTTTTTTTTTTTTAGAACAAAGTTTGGCAGGGAAAGCAGGACAAGGGCCAAGTCATGAACTGACTTTTGTCAGCTGCACTTGCTTTTGGGCCACCATCCAGCATGCCACTCTTATTCTACATCTGCAAAAGCAAGGCCTGTGAACTCGAGAAAGCCCATGCAAAGGATTGTGTTTGGTGCCATTGTCAAAGTGCAAACGGAGTGCGCCTAGACAAGGTAAACACGCTCCCACAGATACCGCAGCGGCTTCAGTGACAACAATGGCTCTGTTGTGCGGGGCCTTAACCACCACACTGGCTCGGCTAGAAATGTTACAGGTAGAAAAACTCGCAGGGCCGCACGAGCTCCACTGAGGCTACTACTCTGATACACAATCTCACCCATCTAAAGTTATTTTACTCCCACGCGCACACATAGCATGGCTGAGGGCAGAGCGGGCTGGAGGGAATCCCAGACATCTCCGTAGGGGGATGTTATTAAGACAGAGGGGGCGGGATCAGCGGCCATTCTGTCTTCCTGACATGTACGCCCTCCAGGTGACACCAGTCACAACAGGATGGAAAAAACAGTGCGGTTGGACCACGCTCTGAATAACTGAATCTGCAGTCACATGACGTCTGCGTGGTCCAAATCAATTGTTATCTCATTAAAGAATGAGTGTAGACAAAGCCTCGCAGAGAACACTTGGCGACTCTGCTGTCCCTTCGTTTGTCTCCTGATCCACAACAAAGTGAGACAGCCTCTCATCAACACAACAATCATTCTTGACCTCTAAAGTAAAGGCCAAGAGAAGTTGAAGGATGAATACTGAGTGTGTGTGGGGGAGGGGGGAATGGGTGAAAAGTAATGTTTTGTTGTTTGCCAAACAAACAATTACCACTCAGATTAAAGCAGTACAACAAAAGGCTTTGGAATGTTACTTAGCACAGAAATAAAAATAAACATTATCTTTGCAGACAGCGTGACTGGAGACAAAATCATGGAGAAGTATCGACTTAAAAGCAATAATAGAATGCCAAAATATTCACCAAGGTCATACAGTCGGATCCAAACGAAACTGTATGCCTCCATCAACTCCTGGACAGCATGAGCTTTCCATTGACACGAGTAGTGCATTCATTATTGACAATTTAAAGAAAAAATAAGGAATCGGCAACAAAATTGAATGTGTTCTTGTTAGACCTACCTCTGACCGTTACAAAAAAATATATATATGATAAAACCTAACTTAACATTATAGTAAAAAAGGCATGTTTTAGGCAGTTTGACCAAATGTGCTTAATCTGTAAGATTCCTCGCAGAACCATCATTTGTCACCCCAGCAAGTAAAATATGTGCATCATTCCTTTTAGACATGTGTTTGCAGGCAAAACAAGAACATAAAATGCGACAGGTTTAAGTTTTTAACTCCCAGACCAGTGAAAGCATACGATCACATTCCTACTTTCTCTCTTTCCATCTCACTTAATTCCAGGCATGAGAGTGCTGCCAGCATAAATAGTGTCTCAGCCTCCACGGTCCCACCAACCTGCTTTTCACACTCACGCACAACCTCAACTACGGCAGACATCAGCAACAGATGACAAAACAGGGGGCTTGCTGCGTCAATGTTTGTTGGGCCTTTTCAACGCATATATTTTTTTTTTGAAAACATTTTACAATGTGACCTGCACATTGCACGAGCCTTATGTGTTTGCTTTATAAAACCAAGCCCGTCAAAAGGTTCAGACATTGAGACCATCCTCCATCTCACAGCTCGATGCATCTCTCCCAGCCTGCTCTGGCCGCTCACCTTCAGGTTCCAGAGTGGGCTCCTCTTCCTTGGTGGCGGTTAGGGGTGGCCGGGCCACGCTGACAGTCAACAAGGACAGCAGGACGGCAGCGAGCAGCCAGGCCCACGAGGCCATCCCGTTAGAGGTGGCCAGTGCTCCCCATACCCCCCGTCTCCACTGCCCCCTGGACACTGATCCCATCTGAGGGGGTCCACCCAATCATCAACTGCTGCCGGGTTGGACTGTCAGGCACTGGAATTCACCCGATCACCTGGGCTGAGAATGGAATAAGACAATGGTTAATAGAGGAATCAGTGCTGCGTTTTCTGTGTTTTTCACTAGTTCATCTGTCTTGAAAGACAAAGTGAGACATGTCAACAGTAGAAGGCTTTACAATGTAACGCAAACAAGCTGATGCTGAAGATGTGAAGAAGCTGTGAGGCACCAGAAGTTAATACGCAGCCACCCTCAAATTCTAATGCAGCAAAGTGATCTTGGACAACTCAAACTCGCCATAGAGTATCAAAATATTGTAGTTTAATTGGTGGGTTTCAGATTAAAACCTGATTTTTCTCTCAGTGTTCACAATCAAATCTGTTCCATAAAAAGCGACGGACACCAGTTGATTGCTGTCAGAGGAGACGCCAGACCTGTTGCAAGCCACTGCCCTTCGGTGCATTTCCCTCACCCGATTATGTAAATCAACCGTAACATTCACACGCATCATAACGTTGGTGCAATTTAGCAGTAGAATTATAGCAGACGTCAATTCTTAAATGTCTCTCTATGTTCAAATGCACGCCTCCCTGAGCTCCACAAATAGAACATATTGAGGGTTTTTTTTTGTTTCCTTAACATGATTTGACTGAATGAGCATTGCAATTAATGTCCCAAAGATGAAACAATTACGATTAAATGTATGTTACTATACTGCTAATGAACTCACCACACTTCATTTTAGTAAAACGCAAAAAGATGAGAGCGTACAAAATAACACAAATGAATAAAAATGCAAGACTGGACTAGAAAATAGTTTCTAATGGCGATGCTTTGCTTCAAACGTGGGCACCTTCTTCATTTAAAGCCGACTGAATGAAATTTCTTGGCGCTGATTGAATTCCTATTGAGATTCAAATCAGTTGGCTTTTCCTCAATTGGTGGGGGTGTCATTTGGAGCTGTTCCGTGATTTAGGGGCCCCGGCACCAAAGCAGTGGAAAAAAAAAACAACTGCAGTCACGGGATAATTGGCACCATAAAGGCGATGTAGAAAATTAAGCATAGTAATAAATAACCAAGACCCACGTTAATGGGTTCTAAAGTAATGATGCAAGGTGTTGTATAGTTCTTCGGCTTCTAAAACAAACAAGGGTCCAGTTTTACTGGGGGGGGGGGGGTAAACATTCTTTCAGTGAAGTTCAATACAGAGTGTTTTGCATGCACAGTTGACAATACGTGTGGTTGCATATTCTAAAGTGGTATGTATGTGATTTTTGCCCTGGAGTTGTACACTTATCTTGAACCCTGAAATGTAAAAAAAAAGGCTTCTACATTAAGGTAGCGAGACAATGGAATGTGAATGGAAACTTTTTTTTTCCTGCCGAGTTGAATCATAAACCGAAGAAACACTTACCAGAGTGGAGTAAAATCGTGGAGCTCTGTTTTGGCACGCTCGGATAAAGGGAGGACAGAACATGGGCTCAATCCAAACGGAGGAATGTCTCCCAACTCCTCAACGCTCCGAAAAGAAAATCTGTCTGCCGTTCACTAATCCACTCTCAGATCAAATCGCTGAATATATTCCAACCCTGATTTGCAGAGTACTGCGCTGCCATGCAAAGAAATCCTACGTTTTATCCGTGGAAGTGGGGGAGTTGTTTAAAAAAAAGGCACAGTCAAGTAGCCCCGAAACTTTCCTCCTCGTCACCAAGTTTCTTCTGCCAGGGCGCAACAACAATCCAGCTGTGCACTTGTCAACTCAAAAGAAAATCAGTACGAGGGTGGACGTGGGATTAGGAAGTACAATAACACAGATGTCCGATGCAAAATATGTTAAAATCCATCAGCGTGTGTCCCCTTCCTCTTTGCCGACACTCCTCACAGTGTTTTATGCAGACGCTTTGTCAGGTTTACTCGCTTTTTCTCCTCCTTACGTCTCCACACTCTGCTTTCCTCCCTCCTCCCAGCCTCAACGCTCCCCCTCCTGCTGTAATTCGAGCTGCTTCCTGGCCGCAGTGCTTTTGGGCCTCGCCTCCCTCCGCCCATCCAACCATCCAAGCGTGCGCGATCGTCTTCAACTCACTTAAAAGCGAGAGACGCGCTCCGCAGTTGGAGCGCCCCCTAGTGTATAAAGCGCGACATCTCACGGTCTACAACAGACGAGAAGACCAGTGATTCCCAAACTTTACTGAGCCAAAACAGAGCTGGGCGACGCCTCCACGGGACCCAAAGCAGGATTTGACTTCGAGGCCCTGTAAAACCCATAATATTTATTTTGGATTATTTATCTGCCAACTATAAATCCATACACACAATGGATGTTCCAACCTGTTGCTTCATGAAGTCACCTCAAAGCCACTCCCAGCTGATCCGGTGACAATCAGAAGAATAAAAGTTTGTTTTATGGCCTCACAATCACAGAGAGACACATTAAAACGGAATCAAGCCAATAACACACAAGAGGTTATCAGTACCACAACATAACAAAAAGGATGATCATGACAGATAATGACCCATACTGGTAGAAAGCCAACTTGCCAATTCAGAGCACAGTGATGTAATTAAAAGCATCAATAACGTGCATCAGAGGTACATATCTGCACTTTTAACCACCTATGAGCCAGCCCGCGGACCTGGTTATTCCAAAGTCGAGGCTTAAAACTAAAGGTGAGAGAACTTTTTCCATCAGAACACCTCAACTTTGGATTGGAATGACCTGCCTGTGCATCTGGGATGCACAAAATCGGTTGCGTCTTTTGAATCACTCCTTAAAATGCACTTGTACAGCTTTAATGGCGTTGTTTCTTAAAATGTCCTTAAATATATTCTCCCCCCCCCCCTGCTTCTTTTTATTTATTTTAGTAGGCGGGGTACACCCTGAACTGGTTACCAGCCAATCGCAGGGCACACATATTGACGAGCAACCATCCGCGCTCACGCTCACACCTAGGGACAATTTGGAGTGTTCCCTTACTCTGCCGTGCATGTTTTTGAAATGTGGGAGGAAACCGGAGTACCCGGAGAAAAGCCACGCAGGTACGGGGAGAACATACAAACTCACACAGGAAACCCGGAGCGGGAATCGGATTCACCAAAACTATTTTTACCATCCACATCTTCGCTAATGGTCTCAATTTGGCAGTTGGATTCCTGCTGTTAGGTTGTTAGCATTTTATTGTCTGTGATTTGCGTTGTACTTGATCCGTCAAAGCAGTTTCCAGTGATGTTTTAAAGGTATTTTCTGACATGAAGATTCTGACTTTATCAAGATGAAATGAGTTCACATACACCACGGGGTCCTCGTGGTTAGTTCCTGTGCCTCACAGTTGCTCTCTCTGTGCTTGTGTGGAATTTTCTACTCCCACTTCCTCCGACATTCCCAAAAAACATACATCATTGTCTGTAGCTATAAATCTAAGTGTGTTGGCTCTCTTGCAATCGGCTGGTGACCAGTCCAAGTTGTACCGCATCTTTGACCCGAAATCAGATGGTATCTGATCCAGCTCGCCCATGACCCACAAACATACAGGACTTAGGGTGAGGGAGACTTTTATTGACTTCAGGCTTACACAAATTTCTTTCTCTTCCATAATTTATCTCTCCCTTCCAAATTATTCTCCACTGCTTGGCATCTCACTTATTGGGGTAGCAGAGTCTCAAGAGCTTTTGACTGCAAACTGCATGGAGTCAATGCCCGGCACTGTGGTATCCATCAACATGTCATTGATGTTCTTGTTCGATGTTTTATTCGGACCTCTTGCTTCCTTCGTCCTGCTGGTCCACTGTTTGAAAACAAGGAACGGCTGTGAAAGGGAAAGAACGTGGCAATGCAATCTTAGCAGCATTTGAAAGCAACACATTGATTCTCTCACATTGTTCTTTGGAACCATCAATGGAAAGCATGCATGTAAGCATATCCTCAATGCTGAGACACCTTTCCTCTTACTGCTAAGGCCTCTCTGTGCTTCTGAAGCTTCCCTCCTGCAGCTCCACGCATTCAAGATGCTGTTGAAGTGAGTTAATCAACAACTAGCTTCCCTTTTGTCTTTGGACCAGCTAATTTCTTCCCCTTAACTCTCTATTCTTGTTGAGCCAATGATAATAACTTACTTGGGGCATTATGCCTGCTGTTGTAGAAAAGTGCACTCAGGAAGTGTACAGCCCCCTCTCGTCCCCTTCAATGAGAAACCAAAAACAGGATTTCGGGCCTTTTTGTGGCTTCAAAATTGACGGAGCAAGTCAGATTAGAAACCTAGCCGGGAAGTTCAAGGGACTGCCCAAAGGACAGATCGGGACAAGGCTAGAAAAATTCCATAGCTAATATTCTCAATAGCATGGTGATATTTATTATTCATAGAAGTCACATGTTCTGGACAACCGCGACTAATCCTTGAGCTGGCTACACAGTCAAACTGAGCTATTGGGGGACAAGATCCTGTATGAAGATGAGAGAAATTCATTGAAGGAACAATTTGTCTGGTTTCATCCACATATGCCATTTACAATTGAGGCAATAACTCAGTTCAGAGACATTGGCATTAGTATTGTAGTTGTTCACTTTTTCGTGCAGCTGGTGTGCAATCTATTTCCACGCAGTGTGTGTTCACGGTCACCCAGCAATTGACTGACACCCAGTCGAGGGTATAGTCCCTCTATTGCGCTGGGATAGGCCCCAGCTCTAGGAAGAGAACTGGTTGCTTCAAACTGTGCCATTTAAGAATTAGGCAGGCCACCGCTCTTGGGAACATTCAAAGCAGCAGCTATTATTTTGTGGGTTTGCCACAAGCTTGTCTCTGAGCCCCTCAGACAGTTTTTTGACCTCAGGGCTTTCCAAACTATGTATCCCATCTATATTCTATGACGTGTAATGCAAAGCCTTTAATATAATATATGGTTAAATTAACACTTAATACCCCTCTGACAGTGTCCATCAAAACCGAACATGCTTGTAATAGGGGGGACATTTGAACACAGTTTTTGTATTAGATCGGTACAAAGTTGTTTCAGGGCTGCCGGCTAATTTTTTTACAAGGTGCACTATGGCCGCCAATATAAAATTGGGCGCAAGTAGAAAATTTAGCAGCATGTAGTGTTGAGTCAAATTGAGAAGATTCCACTAATTTTCATTACTATTAACGGGGCTGAAGTGTGGAGCAGAAAAAACATATTCAAGAATAGTAACTTAAAAAAAAAACTGCAAATTTACTGGTCACACAGGTGCGAGGAGATGAAAAATGTACTTGCACTGTTTCAAATTTTAGAAGCAAAATGCCACCATTTTGAGTCAGTGTGGAGCCTCGTGTTTGACACAAATCACAGTTGGAGATTGTGGAAGTGCCTCAATTTGAGCCAATGAACCACCGTAATGTCTTTTACTGCAGTGCTGCATATATCCACTCCACTCCATTTCAGTGAACTGGGCCAGAAAAGTAAAACATGTCCTATCATAGCGAGGCTTTACAGAAATATTCACAGAGCACAAAGCACACTTGTCCTGTGCAGGCTCGTCCACTTCAAGGGTGCTGCTCTTGATCATGAATGGCAGCGATGTGTTATTGTAATTGTACTACACCAAATCTTAGCGAGCCCTCTCCTTGCACTGCCACTACATATCACTGACTGAAGTGTAATTAAAACATCAAACACGAGTGAGTCACATCCTGTGCAAAATATGAAACAAATACGCAAAGCTGTGTGCGGCTGAGGGATGAGGGCCAAATGCAGCGAGAAGGTAAAGTAGACACACACCTCAGATTTAATGTGAACCATATATAGGTTCTCAACTGGGGAAATGTTTAGGTAAGAATAGCGCTTTGAGTAGGATGAATTTTTACAATGCATTTTGATATGATTGGAAGATTTGTTCACATTTTGACGAAACAAGTAAAGGAAAGAATCCATTCAAACTGTCATCATATAACCATTATTAATTATACTGACAAAATAACATTTTGATGTTCTGGCATAACCTACAAATTGGAATACAGGAATATACTACAGAATGATTTAACCAATATACCCAATGGAGGACATTTATGTCGACACAAAAAGAGAGAGAGAGTGAGAGAGAGAGCAAGAGAGAGAGAGAGAGAGAGAGAGAGAGAGAGAGAGAGAGAGAGAGAGAGAAAACGAGTTTTAAGTTGTAATATGAAAATGAAGTAAAATTTCCCATGAATAAGAGTTGTTAACTTGATGTTAAATTGTATTTTTTTTTTGGGGCGGGGGTATCCAAGATAAATAAATGGGGGGGAAGTAAATTTAAATTTAAACTAAAAAAATGTCTTTCTCATAAGACAACCGTATTTGCTTACTTTCATGAGGAAGTCATTTTGCAAAGGAATGTTCTGTTTCAGATGGTTCTGATGCAAACCGCACATTAAAATCCATCCATTCATTTTCAAATCCGCTTATCCTCACAAAGGTCGCGGGCGTGCTGGAGCCTATTCCAGCTGTCTTCGGGCAAGAGGAAAGGTACAACTTTTCCATTATATTATTAGTCAAATTTATCCTGTTTACGGATGAATTCCCGTTACTGTTTATGGTTCATAAAGATGGCACACAAACGCTAAACAAACACAAACCACACAAAAGCATATGACGCGGCTCATTGTGGTCTGAGAACATGTCACTAATTCTGGGTGTTGATTTATACTCTGCAAGTGAGTGCATGTTAGATATTCTCCTCAAGCTAAGAGTTCAATAAAGCCTCACATCTTGATTTTGGTCATGGCAAAGAGGTATTATCCTTCTCTGTCAGCTTTTCTTTCATTTTACAAATACGACTAATAGCATTCTGGGAGGTCATCTTTTTTCTTCTTTCTTTATTTTTTCTCTTTTGCATAATTCCTTTGACTATACATCAATATATCAAGTAGAGCACCTCAGCAGGTAACACTCAATTGTATTGCCTTTTTGTGATAATGAATTCTCAAATAGCAATCTATTCAGTGAGGAAGTGCT